GAATGAAGACACTGAGACCAGGCAAGAGGGAATTTTCAAATAGACAATTTAGCCTTAGTTTGTTCTGTAGAGAATGTTGTCTAAAAGTCCTATGAACACATGCTCTGAGTTCCTTGAGACACATGAATTTAGATAAGAGAACTTAAACTCACTGGCCTTTGCTAAACAAAGAAAATTCAACAAGTTTGAATGATATATTTTATGATGGTAAATCGCAAAAGTCATCTCTCTGTATTAAGGACTTCCATAATGGCATGTTCTATTTTTATTCTTTTTAAAAAATAACTACTTAACCCGAGTTTCTGCTCTATGTGTAAAGAACTGTGGATATAGGTGGATAAGCCTTGCCTTGAATGTGCCCTCATGCTTATATAAAATGAGGATTGACTGTAACCACCTTTGAACAAATTAGAGATGAGAGAAAGTACCATAAAATGTTTTCATTTGAGCTAAAGAGATGGAGACACTTTAGTTTTCCAAAAGCTATCCTGTATAAATATAGAGGATTAGAGGCCCACTGCATGAATTTGTGCGCCACTGGGGTCCCTCAGCCTGGCCTGAAAGTTTGGGCAAAAATCGGGTCTCCAACATCCCCCAAAGAGTCCTGGATTATGAGAGGGCACAGGCCAGGCTGAAGGACCCCATTGGTATACATTTGGGGCTGGGGAGGGATACATGAAGTTGGCCAGCCATGGAAGGACTAGAGAAGAGCATGAGGGCATGTCCAGCCTGTCATGCTCAATTCTGATCAGCCAGACCCCAGCAGAAAGTTAACCTACCAGTCAGAGCATCTGCCCCCTGGTGGTCAGTGCATATCATAGCAACAGGTCAACTGGTCAACTGCCCCCTGGTGGTCAATACACGTCATAGTGAGTGGCTAAGCAGCCTTAACATTCATTAGCATATTACACTTTGATGGGTTGACCAAGCACTTAGCATATTAGGTTTTTATTATATAGATTATTTGATTCTCTGGAACTATGAGGAAGAAAGAAATGACCAGTGTGCATGCCTATACAGGGGTGGGCTAAAGTAGGTTTATAATCATTTATATGGACAAAGACATGCTCAGAGAATACAACCAACCTTCAATTCACCACAAAGTCATCTGATGGCTGTTACAATAGAAGCAAGTAGTCTACTTCCAATTTTTATTATATGCACTTCTTATGACAACAAACATTTGTAAAAAGGAAGAGATTATGATATTTAACTTTTATATTAAAATGAATCTGACTCCATTAACTGCTAACGTAGGTAATTTTTAAAAAAATTGTTTTGCTTCTTTAATATATTCTGCCAACATACTTTATAACATCTAGTGTCCTCAAAAATAATTGTATTTCAAATATGTTTGCTTCCCCAAACAATTAAGTAATTGCTCTAAAATAATGTACATTGTAGCCATGTTTATTGAATTAAATTTAGTAGCAATTATTATTTGTATTGAGGTCAGGTGTTGTCTAATGAATCAATATCAGCATTATGAAGAGTGCATTATATTATGGAACAAAATGTAGGTTTTGGATATGCCACATAGGAAATTGCTTGCCTATGTGACCAATTTCCAAATAGAAAAGACAAGTTAAAGACAGAAGTAGTGCCATTTTAGTACCTCTTTAAAACATAGACAGACAACTAGAAAAATTAGTGTTTTGTTTTTCCCCTCAGTATGTATGAGTGTGTGGGTGCACACACACATACACAAGTATTTTATGTGTAAGGTTGACAAAATATTTATGATATGCCTTTCAGGTTTGGGCAAGATTCTAATTTAATACAAAAGTAGTTTGACCAGGGGATATATACCACTCATTATTTTATTGAAGGAAATGAATGTTATTAGGGTAGATTTTCCACTGTAAAAACAATAGAAGAGGGGGGCATGCTTATACTATTTGCAAAATATGTGACATTAATCTTGAGAAAATCAGCCACAATTTTTAAGTACAAAAATTATTAATATAAAAAGTGTACCACTTAGTTTAGCATAAAAGAAATTATAGGTGCTTTAGAGAGTTATCACTGAGAGGATTATAATAACCGTGTAACAATGGATGTAACAACATTACAAAAATTCCAATTGTTTTAAAATCACTTTCTTACCAATCATTCTTTAATATAAAATTATCACAACTTAAAAATTTGTGCATCTTTTATTATTACTTAAATTTATTCAACTATCTATGCTTTAGCAAAAATAGAATCCTATGGCTCATCATTATACTATAGATACATTCATATGTACATAACATACATATAATTTTGGTATGGAAATACATATACATATATATATATATATATATATATATATATATATATATATATAAAAATATATAAAATCTTTTGGTGAAGTAGTCTGTAGAATGTACCTTATCGGATTTGGCTGTTTTTCTTATGATTTGACTAGAATTATGAGATTTTTGGAGAAAGATCACAGAAGACAGTAAGGTGCTATACTCATGACATAATATCAATTGTATATATACCAACATGCCTTCACTGGTAATGTTAGCCTGGATCACCTGGCTGAGCTAGTGTCTGTCAGGTTTCTTCATCTCCACTTGCAGATGAGAACAACTTGGAGGATGCTCATGAAAGAAAAGTTTTTGCTCAGATAAGACAACACTCCTGTTTTCCTAAAAGTTTGCAGGGCGCTTTTGTTCTTCTAGGAGGTATTTTTTCTGAGGAAAAGAAACTACTTTATATGCTGTGTGAAACCAGGAATGAGTGTTCATAGTCAGGGCTCCACAGATGCTCTGCTCCCCCCGAGGGCTGCCTTACTTCACCGAACTCCATGCTCCCCCAGCACCTCATGGCTCCAGGCTAAACAAGGTAGCCCAGGAAGTAACACAGGAAGCCAACATCTCAAAATCCGTGCTTTTTAAAATATATGTTTTATCGTTGACAGTATGACAGATGCCCTCCTTTAGACCTCTCCACCCAACATCTACCCTGCTCCCCAGGTCTTCACCACCTACTGTCTGTTTCCATTGAAACCTCCACCTCCTGCGTGCTATTTCCAGACAAATCTGAGCTGTCACAGCACTGCTGCCCGGACACTGCAGGAGGTGAAGGGGACATAGTTGAGTGGCCAGTAGAAGGCACTCCCCTGTGAGTCCTCACCCCAGCTCAACGGCAAGGATGCCAAGAGGCTCCTCCCTGACAGACAGCACTCTTGGCTACACTACAATGGAAAGCACTGCAAACCTTTCTGCTTTGTCTTGTTTGTAGTTTTAACTGTTATATTACTCCTCGTGAAAATAAGAGAAATTGAGTGTCCCAGTGTATCAGTAAGCATCACAAATGAACACATAGGGGAGAGCAATGGGTATTAGCACATTTATTTTGTCCATTTTCATTTGGATGTAACTTTTAATTTGCAAAGCTAACCATTATTATAACAGTTTTAAGTAACCCATTACCTTGTCCTCGGCACCACCATCCCTGAAATATGTTTCCTGTAATTTTGTTGGTGTGAACCATTCAATTGCATTGGTAGCACTTTGATCATTCAGTCCACTCCATGCATTTTCTCACTGAGATGTCCTTCAACAAGGACACATTGTCAACGTTATCTGTCTTCTGTCCTACTCCCAAATGTGTGATGTCAAAATACAGTAACATTCTTAAAAGAAACTGCAATGAGGCTCTATAGGAGTAGAGGCAATACATCTACTTCTAAAGAGTTGCACTTAAATCTTATATTTGATGACTTGTTTTGTACTTTATATTCTTTTAGAAAATAAGAACCAACAGTAAACTATTTTTGATACATAAATTAAGATTTCCAGGCCAAATTTGCTTGAAGTGAAGTACACCTATAAGAATTGTTTTTAAATTACGTAAACACTGAACACACACATGTTTGTTTATGAGTTCACTCAACACATAGAGCCCAAGTGCCTGTTGTGTGCCAGGCACTGCTGTAAGGGGCTGGGAATTCGGTAGTAAACAAGCAAGAGTCCCTTCCCTTTTGGAGACTATAATCCAGTGGGACAGTCAGACTAAACAAGGAAACGACTGCATAATATAACTTCAGGTAGCCAACTGCTCCGAGGGAAAATAATATAGGAAAGAGGAACAGAGAATGCTGGTAGAGAGTGTATTTTAGAAATATCAGTTTTCTATTGCTGCATAGCAAATCACCACAAACTCAGTGGCTTAAGGCAACACACATGTATCATGTCCCATTATTAAAGGTCAGGAATCAAGGCCTAGGGTTCACTGGGTTCTCTGCTGAAGACTTGCAACATTGTAGTCAAAGAGTCATGCGGGGCTGGGTTAATCAGAGACTCAGGTTTATTGGCAGATTTCAGTGCCTGCAGCTATAGAACTCATGGAGGCAGAAGGAAAATGTCTGCAACTGCTTCTTTCTCTTCTAAGGGCTACTCTGATTGGGTCAGGCCCACCCAGGGTAATCTCAATTCAGAGTCAAGTATTAGTAACATAATCACGGGAATTGGGTCCCATTGAATCACAGGTTCCACCGGCTCAGGACAGTACACCCAGAGGTGGATCTCATGGGGGCCACCTTAGAATGTTCCTGAAGAGAGACAGGATGTTGGTTACTTTTGAGCAAAGACCTTGGGAGAAAAAATCAGAATGAGCTCTACAGAGTTGGCTAGTAGCAGAATTAAAAGTACATATGGGACCGGCTTTCTCAACTCACATTATATTTCTGTTTTTCTGTTGGCCAATTCTATGATAGACAAAGAACAAACACTTGGTACCAAATCTGGAAAATAAGCACTCTGTGCATTCCTATCTTAACAATGAGAAAGCTGAGGTTCCAAGAGGTTTACTGACACCCTCAAGTTCACACAGTGGAATGTGGTAAGATCAGGGAGTGAATCAAGGCAAGGAAAGAAGCTACAGATCAGGTCACAGGAATACAACCTGCACTGTCACTCAGGGGACACATTCAGGAGCACTCAATGCTGGTTTAATGCTGCACTGCCACCATTTTGTGATTCTTAGCAATTTACCTTAAAATTCAGGTTTACCAGTGAAACCAAGGAGACAATAGAGAATAAGCATGAGCAGAAGGGCTACGTGCTACTTCAGTACCTGCCTTTCCATTTACCTATAGCATTTGAGAAACCCCATGGCACAGAAATTCTGTGGACTCAAGATAGTGAGAGTTCAGGGAGCCTCAACATGAGTACAAGTAAGCATGCTCTGTCTACCACTAAGTAAGGGGGGTGCTGACAGCCCTGAGGGGCTACCTCCTTTTAATGTAAACCAGTTGCCTTTTGGGGAGCCTGAGAACAGCAGTAAGCATGTGGCTCAGCCCAGGGATAGTAACAGGGATGGGAGTGAGAGAGCACTGATTATTGTCCCTAGGAAACTAAAAACGTATGAGTCCTAAACTGATGACTTACAGCCAATGAGTCTTCTCAAATAGCAGTGCATTATTCAAGTAGAGATTCTGGAAAAGACTCCTCCTTGTAGATGATACAGCCAATTGCAGCCTGAAATCTGGGACCGGACTTCTGTGTGGGGATGTACCTCACCTGAGAAGCTGTCATGGGGTTGTGTGGGGATCACACTCTGCCCACACCAACTTGGCCACGTCCATGGCAGCCTGAAATGTCCTGTGGAGAGCTTTATTACAGAACTTAGGGGTTGGATGTATGCAAAATATATGAGATGTATTCCTTGGGGGAGGAGGGGATTGTTGGGAGCCTGCAGAGTTGAGGCAAGCAACTCAGTCTTAAGGAAATAGAATTAAGTTCCTTCTAGCAGAGGTTGTGTGGTGCCCTGAGGGCTTGGCCAGAAGATAAGATTAACCTGGGGCTTAGCATCTCCTGTCTTCCTGCCTCTTCCCCTTCCTGATCCTCCCCCCTAGATAGCCCAGCCTTGGAATGTTGCAACTTGGAATGTCACACCTCCTCTGGCAATTAGTCAATCCTGTGTTGCCATACCAAAGACCCCCCTGCATAAGCGGCCCTGCCCCCCTTTGTCTCTGCTGTATAAATACAGCCATTTCAGAGAATAAAACTGAGGCTTGATCAGAACCTTGTCTTGCCTCCATTCTTTCGCGTTCCTTGTTTGATTAATTCTCTTAGGTGGTTCCTGCGTGCCCCCGTTGTTGTCCCGCGGGTCAGGACAGGGGATGATATTTTAAACTGGTATTATTCATTTATAACTTATTGAAAAACATTTGCTATTAAACAAACAAACAAAACAAACAACAAAAAAAAAACAACTAAGAAAGTCTAAAAGACTTTTTAGTTCTGAACCTGGCTTTGTGTAAGTTGGATTTGAGGACATATATGATCCTCAGTGCAAATGTCTTGGCACAAGGAAAATTTCCAGAGAGTATGTCAGACTTGCAAGGTAGTGGACCTGGTGAGACCAAAGTCAAGGTTTCCAACATTAAAGGGGACCCAGCTAATATCTGGATTACAGGTGAAAGAAGCAGAGCACTAATTTGGGGCTGTGGGCACACCCTCTTGAAGGTGTACCTGCCCCCACTCTCAGAAACCATTTGTGACTCCACAATGCTCTGTGATGCAGACAAGACTATAAAGTCAAGGTTCTGCACTCTCAGAGCTCAGTTGCTTCAAGCAGCATTGCGATTCAGAAAATGGAACCCAGTCTATTTCTGAAAAGCCTACGAGAGTTTTATCTGAGCTTCTGCTCAGAATGTTCATATAGTGAACACAACGTAATTATCATCTTGGTGGTGAGCTTATTCCTTTTTTTTATTTTCTTCATGAGAATTCCATTAATCCCAACCTTCTGGACAAAGGAACAGACACATAAGGTAAGGAACACTGAGCAAGCCTCAGCAGAGTTCTTATTATTTAAATTTCCACATTTCTAAAGGAGTTTGGTTAAGACAGAGAGACTCTGAAGATGGGACAACATCTGAGGAGACAACAGAACATCACTCTTCTAAGGGAAGAGACCAGGCACGGCTAGGGATTCAGGGAGGACTCAGGTTTCCATATGAAGCTCACAGACCATTTGGGTGTGGTGGCAAGTTTCTGGCTCCAAACATAGTGATTCTCTAGTTCTGGATCCAGTTATTTAGAGACTTGGGGGTCTTTGTAGGACATCAGAGTTAACCAGCACTTCATCCTGAGCCATGCTGCCCTGTCAGGCATCACTTGTCCACCCCTTTGAGTTGGGCTGATGAGTGCTGGGCCTCTGAGAGCCTCTGAGCACCATGTCACGTTAACTGGGTCCTATCTGAGGGGACAGAGAAGCAATTGTAGGCCTCAGGTTATATACCCTATTTGAGCAGAGGGCCTCTGAGAAAACCAGGTTTGCACCTCAAAGACAAAATTCTTCTTGGAGTTTTTCAAAGAAGAAAAATTTAATACATTTTTAAACTTTAAAATCTGGTAAAAGGAAGATAAAGTTCGATTAGTTTAAATGCCTTAGGCTCAGAGAGCCATTATTCTTAGAGAGCAAATGCTGAGTTTCCTAGGTATAGGAGGAGAGAAACGATTCCCAATCTCTCATTCTTTCCTTTTTCTTCTTAGCATCAGGGCAAAGTCAAGAGGAGAAGGAAAGGCGGGACACGGGGACGTAAGTTTCTGCCTATTCCACCTGAGCTCCCCAAGGGTTACACTTCCTCTCGCCTTTCCATGATCTCTATGCCACTTGGTAGATAGTCCCTCTCATGAATCACGGACTTCATGAGAAATACAGAACCTGAGACACTTCTTAGATTCCCTGCTCTGCTGTCCCTGAGTAAGAAGCAATGAAGGACCCGGGCCATGGGTATTACACAGTAGATGTTGAGAGTCAGAAGTTCTGTCTCCTGACTTTGAGAAAGTAGTTTGACTTCAGGGTGATCAGAATCTTTTTTGTTCTGATCATTGGCCTCTACCTCACAGAGTGGTTTTGAGCATCAAATGAGATAATGTGCATGAAAGTACTTTATAAAATGAGAAACACACAAGGGAACCTTATTAACACACCATTGCCCATTTGACTTCATTTAATCATTCCTGGGGCTTTCAGACTCTAATATCCCAATGTTCTGCCATTAAAGGACCCCTATATATTCCCCATAAGTCTACCTTCATAACATGTAACTCACTTTCCTGGTTTCCCAGGTTCGAGATATTTCCACAAGAAAGTGGAGGAGGAAAGGGAGCTGATTGCTTTCCTGAAAAGGTGACTAGCCATCTCCTCTTTTTCCTGAGCTATCTAGTGCCTGACCTTTGCTATTCTAGGGATTCAGTGGAGCCTTCCCTAGTCAAGGGAGGGGTTGCCATAGGGACTGGAATGACAGTGAATGCCTTGGGATGAGTGCATTGTGAAGTCGTGGATGTGGAACTAAGTATAGGGGCAGCAGGTTTCAGGTGGCCCACCCACAGTAGGTCCTCCTTTCCTTGTTGTGGCCTTGGCTGCATCATTTTACTTCCTGTCTCCTGCAGCTCCCTGGGACGGAATCATGATTCCAATCACTTTCGTCAACTTTTATGTCCAGACCCCTCCTGTGACATATGTAACAATGCAACAGCTGAAGTCAATCAGCTTTTCTCAAAGGCTCTGGAAAGTTCTACTCCATCAGTGTCCCCTGTGGTTTCCACAGCTCCCATGACAGCTCTGGAAAGATCTACTCCGTCAGTGTCCCCTGTGGTTTCCACAGCTCCTGTGACAGCTCTTGTGGCAGAGCCTTCATTCCATCAGTCTTCTGCTTTCCCAGGAGTTCCTAAAGGAGAACTCAGACCACCATCTCTGATTGAGCCTTCCCTACCATCTCCCTCTCCTCTCCCCACCAACTCAATAACCGCCTTAGGTAATTTTCTGTCACCATCACCATCATATCAAACTCTGACTACAGAGCCATCCTCTCACTCAGACTCTGAACTTCTGGGACAACATTCCTCATCCCAAACGAAACACTTCTCTTCATCCTTGACACAATATGATTTCCATCAAAAGTTGTCTGACATTCATTCTACAAAAATCTCTTCTGTGGAAGACACTGCAGTCAAACTTACAGATCCAACACAGCTCTTCTTTCTCAGTTCAGAAGAGCATGACTCAGTAGAGCATGACTCATATCCTAAGACCTGGGAGGACAATTTAAAGCAAGAAGTTATCCAGCTTTTCTGGGGGCTTCCATCTCTGCACAGTGAGTCCTTGCTCTCTGCTGTGCATGCCTCCGGTTACTATTCAATCTTCAATAGCATCTCAAATGCCTTTATAAGCCAAGGATCCTCAGGACTTCCTTATTTCCTACCTCCATCCTTGCCTAAGGTCCAACCTCAACTTCTGCCTCAAACTCTGCCTCTATACCATCACTCACCTCTCACTCAGCTCCAACCCCAGGTCCACCTTCAATCCCCACTCCCAATCCTACAGGCTGGTCTCATAGACCAGACTAAGGTCTGTGGAGCATATTGCCATACACCTCTGAATGAATCAGAAAGTCTCACCTCATCTGATATTGAAGAACTGGAATTGAATGTGTTAAAGAAGAAACAGGAAGGTTTGTGGGGTTTACCCTCTCTAGCTCTAAGTTCTTGGGAAGCCTGCTTTCCTTCAGCTCCCACCTCCCCTTACTATGGGCCCTCCAAGGCCCATATTTCAATCTCCATTGATCATTTTGAGTATCCTCTCAGCGCTGAGTTTAGAAAGAAATTTGAACATCACCTTAGGAAGAGGCTCATCCAACACCGGTGGGGCCTGCCCCTCAGGATCCATCAGTCTCTGTCACTCATGAAGCCTAGGTGTGAATACTCAAAAATATCTAAGCCAAAATGCTGCTATGGCATCTCAGGGATCCCTATGTATAAGGCCAACGGTAGCAAAATTCTAAATGGAGTCACCCCATCAGCAGACTTCTATAAGCAGGGCTCAGAAACATTTCAGCAGTCTGATGAAGAGACAGACAGCTTAGGTAGTCATCCAAAAGGCTTGATGAGTGACTCAGACAGTACTTCAGATAAGGGTGTGGAACGTGACATTGATAAAAAGAAAGTGATAATGCAGAATGTAAATCAGAGACATCTGGTAAATTTCCTGAAAGTACATCTGAGCAAAAAATTTGGGGAAATGAGTGAGGGTCACCTACCTAGGACTGTGCAGAGTTCACATCACTCTATCCAGCATACACTTTCAGTAGAATCCAACAGGGAAATTAAACAGAGAAGTCTGCCACCATCAGTGGGTGGGGACTACTGTCTGAACAAGTGCCAGGAGCCGTCCTTCTATCCAGAGATGCTGGAAGACCAGGATACTAACTTGCCTACAAAGACATTTGGAGGCCTCCCTGCTAAAGCTCTTGAATCTACAGAGGACTTCAAATCAAAAGGCACTACCTCTCATTCCTTGATCAATCCTCACTCTTCCTCCACAACCAAAGTGATTTCTGAGGTGAGCACTGAATCTGGAACCTTCACACTTCTGAAAGGGAGTTCTGAATCCCTTCACGGTGACCAAGTGAAAACAAAAAATGTAGCCCCTGTCTTGAATCTTCTCTCTACCATCTCACTTATGAATAAAGTGGGAGAGGTGATTCAGCACAGACTTTCTGAGGATTTTCAGACAATTTTGGGAGGCCAACCACCTCCTTTACCTGTCACAAACACCATCCCTGACAAAACAAATCAGAATCCTTCTCTGACAGGCAACATTCAACCTTCAAAGCTGCCTGCAAGGCAAGCAAATAGAGAATCTGCACCAAAGAATAAGAGTGTGAATTTTACTGACAGAACTGAAATGCCAGAGGCCACAAATAGGGATGAAGCAGAACCTGCTTCCATGACCACCGAGCCCAGGGAGATAGCCAGGGCTGAGGAGCTCTATGCTCTTCTGTCTGTGACAACCAGCCAGCAAGGGACCTCCCAAAAGAAAAACAGAGACACCACTGCGACTACTGAAAACCCACCATCTAAACTATCAGATCCAGCTCCTAACATTTCAGAACTTAGAAAGCAACTAATTGGTGAGTTGAACTTGAAGTTGGAGAGCAGGAAGCAGAGCCAGGCCCAAGGCCAACCCAAGGACATGTCCAGTGACTCAGGCAGTTTGACTGACAAAACCTCCCTGACTCCTGCCAAGTGTGTCTCAGGTGTGAACAAGGAAGTACATCAGGTGCTGCATGTACATTCAGAGGACAGCACAGTCAGGATAGAGAAGCCGCAGGAATCTCGGCTTCCAAGGCATGCGTTAAAGTCCTGCCAGGATGAGAATTTCCCACCAGGGGTAAAGAAAGATACTGTGTGCCCTCCCACCAAGCCTACAGCCTCTAAATATGAAGAGCTTGGTGGAGGAGATGCTCGAGTGATAATTTCCCAACTTAAAGGGAAGAGATTTCCTCCTCAGGACACTGATGTAAAGGACATGCATGGAAGCAAGTCTTTCCACAACTTGCCACAGAAGGGACAGGCTCCTACGGATGGCCTTTTTCTAAATAAAATGAAGAACGTTTTTCAAAGGCTCCATCCTTTAATCACAGGGACAATGCCAGAAACCATCCCAAAAGCGGGAAGACACATATCATCTGCACAGAGCAGAGGCCCAGTTAAGAACAGAGCTACCTTCACTGGGACCCAGAAAGTCCACAGAGTCAGGTCCGATATTGTGAACTGCCCAGAAGAGAAGCAGGGGCATAGGCAGGCAGGAGCTACCACCTATCCTCAAGAGCCCCTTCCCTCTGCAATGCAGTCGGGGAAACCTGTGCAGAAGGCAGCAGTGCAGGCCAGGGTAAAGTCTGTGCAGGGCTGTGATTTAAACTGTAGGGCTCTCTTCCCCCATGTGACAAATAAGAAGTCTGGCCTCCAAGCAGCTATCTCTGATGACCAGAGATCCACAAGTATTAGACATAACAGGAAGGATGAAAGAACCTTCTCAAAAGCAGTGATATTAAAGGACCACCAAGTATGCCAGAAGCACCCCCAATCTGTGTCCCTCAAGGGGACTGTACCTCCTCCAAGCCCCACCTGCAGGTCTCAAGCTGCCAAGGGGCCTCCGGCTGTTTCCACCACTGCTGGAGGCACTGCTTTCAGACATCAGCCTCCAAGATTTAGACACACAATGCTTCTCTATAATTTCCAGGGGAAAACATTTCCCGCCCCCAAATAATTCCTTCCTCCCCGGAGGGGAATATTGACTTGCCCAATAAATGTTTCTGTAATAATAGTGATGTCTTCTCTGTGTCCTGAGTTGGGGGGAATGGGTTTAGGGTTTCTCAGGGCTTGTGCTTAAGGAAAGAAAGGAGGAAGTTCAGCACCTACTGATTGCTTCCTTCGGTTTCCAAAAAATGACCATTGCCTGGAGCTCTTGTTGAGAAACAGAGATCATGTGCCCTCCCCCAAAGCCCACTTCCTGGTTGATGAGGTGTGAGGAGATGGGCTCTGTCTCCCACCATAGCTTAGCCTTAATGTACATGGAGAGCAGCCCACACCTTCCCTTCAGGGTATGCTTTATGTCCTCTATGGCAGTTAGGGACACAGGCCTTCCACATCTGAAGATCAGGTATGGGTATATTTTTCAGAAAGTGTCAGTGAAGAAGAGACAGTGGCCTAATTATTATTTAAAAGTCAGTGATCAGAGGATTCCATAGGTGGGTGAACCTTGAGTGTTCGGGGGGGATATTATTGCATGGATCTCGGAATGCTCTGGATACAGTTTCAGAACAGCATAGACACCATTAAAAT